CGAACAATGCTCAGACACCCACTTTTTTGAAAAAAAAATTGTCTCCGCTGTTTGAATTCTACCAAACAAAGATAAAAAAAATAACATCATTACAAATGGGTATAATTCCGACTATACCAACTTGGTTTGAATATAAAATTATTTTAAAGTTTTGTTTTTCTTCGATAAAAAGAAATATGTATTTTGTTGTAATATGTACGTAATATAAATAAACAAATTAAAGCTCATTGTTTTGTTTTTGTTTAGCATTTTGACTGGAAGGGGGGGCCTCCTTTTGTATTTTGCGTTGGGGCCAAAAAATTCTAGTTACGCCACTGGGGGTATATGTTCAAACCTGCAAAGGCCAATATAAGGCAATATGTAAAACACCAAAATATCTATTATTAGAGAGTTTTTGGACGTGCAATAAAGACAAGCAGTATTTAAATTAGCCTTATTTTGACATCTACGCATGCGCATTTGCGTCCGAAAATAAGGATTCCCTTAATAAGGTTACTGCTTGTCTTTATTTGTGTATGGTTAGTGCAAGGCAGTAAACTTCCCTTATTTAAAATTTCTGACATTTTGGACGACTTTGACGTTTTGCTTTTCGACGATGATGTAATTTTACTTGGAAAATTTATTTTTTAGAATAGTTTTCCATTTTACTGTGGGTAACATTAAAAAATGGGTATCAGCAGAAAATCACAAACAAAAATAAACACTTTTTGAGTCTGAACATTATAAACATAGCTATCAGCTGTCAAAATTATGAATGCAAAATAAGGTAATACTCTAGCACCTACTACAGTCTTCCAATAACTGTTTTTTTCTTGGAAAAATAGTGCTGATGTACTAATAAAATAACGTAGATCCTTAATACTGCCAGGCAGTATTTAATAGTTCCAATAACTCTCTATTATTAATAGTAAATGTCAGAATAACCAAAATGTAGTCAGGACCAATGGGGCCTTATTTAAGACACTGCAATAACTTTAAGATTTACCAATAAAATGAATGGTTTGACCAAAGTCTTTTGACTACCTTAGTTCCATGAGAGTAAAAGAGAACGAATAGTTATTAAAGATGTTAATAAGAGTAATTAAAACCTGTGCACGCTTATACCATGGTATACCGGGGCGGGTTTGTACAAAAATGTCACCTTAAATATAGTACATTAAAAATCATTGGTACTGTACACCCTTGTAATGATTAAGGCAGTAAAACAACCTTGGAAATGTACCAATTAAGTATCAGAAATACCATCAATAATAATAATAAAATAATTTAAGAAATGTTATAAAATCAATGGGTACATCACCCCTTTTGGTCCTCCCTGCAGTCTAAACACCCATTTCTATAACTGTCTCCTGACAGCCTTACAACCTGCATAACAGACCCCATCAACTTCTATTGACTCCCTTCTTACAACGTGAATTTCGGTCTCAACTCAGTGTTGTGGGTACTCTTGACACCTCAACTTCGAGACTAATAAACCGTCTGAGAGGAAAAACCCACTGGTAAAGATTCTGAAGGCCTCGCTAACAGCCTAACAAAAAAACCCTGGTTACAATTGGGCTAGTTGAACAAATGTGCTCTAGTGCTTCACACGACAAACCAACAAAATGGCGTAGATTTCGTTTCCAGAAAATTCTGTGTGGTTGGCTTACAAATACGGGTACGACCAAATCCAAAGCTTCCACCCCAAAACCAATTAAGCCAGCAACCACTAAATCCCAGCGTCTTCAAATCCCACAAAAAGGTGGATGTTCCCAAGGAACGTTGCCGAGAGGACCGCTGGTAAAATCTGCCAAGAACTTGTTGTTTGCTCAACGTGCGAATTTAAAAGAGAACGATCTCTTTTCAGCGATTTATTAGGTAGGTAGGCTTCAATATGAAAAATTTTCTAGAATTCCAGTTTTTTTTCCTTTAAGATGTCCTCTGGTGCCAGATTTCCGATCTCAACCAGTGGGCCGATCCTCGGGCCAGGGAGTGTAACTCCCCGAGAGAACAAAATTTTCGTCTTTATCATTCTCGTTCACTTTTTGATTACGTTGAGAAGGACAAAACATTCGTTCTATCGGGGAGCTCTACTCCCTGGCCCGAGGATCGGCCACCAGGAAGACGGAACACCCAGTTTGAATCGGAACACAATCAGCTTGAAACAGAACACTCCGAACCACAATGATGACCCACAAAACTCCAAGTTGTTATCAAATTCTCTCCCCTAACACCAATTAACACTAATTAATCACTTATACAAGTTATTAATCAGCATCTACTTAGTCTTCAGTCTAAAAACCATCAAAAGACCGGTGAATGTTTAGGGATCACAGTTACAGTGACTCTATAGGCCTATTCGGGTTTGGAAAAAGGACGGTTCTAGAACGGTTCAAAACAATCGTCCAGTTTATTGATCAACAAAATAACAACGACTCGACTATCACAAATTTCAATAATAAACTGTGCGATTCTTCTGGACCGTTCTAGAACCGTACTTTTTCCAAACCCGAATAGGCCATATATTACCCACAGCGTTCAAGTACGCCGGCAACGGTGCTCCCGAAACGAATCAACAAGTGGCTTATAACTAGGGTTGCCACCTTTTGATTTCCGAAAACCCGTACATAATCGAAGCTAGCTTTTTTTTGTAGCATAATTTACACTCATATCTGTAGAATGAATTTTTAGAAAAAAATTAAAAAAGGTATCTTGTCAATTTCAAACGCCACCCCTCGTAGTTACGGTCTATTTTAAAATTTAAAAAAAAAAACAGAGACACTTGTAAGTGAACAGGGAGAATGACACAATACATACATAATTATTTATTTTATTAGGCAGAAAAGCACGATATTTAATGCCGCGACTAGTTTTTCATAGCCTAAAGCGGAGCGAGGAAACCAACCAAGGCATTAAATCTGATCTTTTGCCGTGTGAAACATATAGGTAGTACATTTCATTTTTTCTCCGAATTTGTTACACTTTCACGCATAATCTACTTTTTTATGTTTATCAATTGCGCTGATAACGTTTGTTGAATGGGAAGCAACGAACATTTCTGCCTAGGCAGAAAAAGTCCATTTTTCTGTCGCTAACTGGAAACCGGAGACGTTTGTGATACACCCGTTATTCAAGAAGTAGGAACGTTCAGAAATTAGTTAGGTATATCCTAAGGTATTAATTATTATTAATTATATAGTTATCCAGATATTCCCGGACATTTTCATCATGCGTCCGGACACCGGACAAACCTTTGAAAACCCGGACAGTCCGGGTGAAAACCGGACAGGTGGCAATCCTACTTATAACCCCACAATATTTCTGGAGGAAAACAAACTTTTGAAAATGGGAAAAGTAAAGGAAATAAGGGTGGAAAATCGATTTAGAGTGTGCTAAAGTGATTTGTGTTGTTGCAGAAATTTTAATAAAGGAAAATACGAGATCCGTAAGTGTTGACAATTGATATTTATTTGAAAGTAAACAAACCTTTTCACCGACATTTAGGGCCTTTTAGAAAACTTTCGAAAGCTAAATAAAGTGAAATCCTATCCTACCAGTAGGGCTTTATTATCCTGAAACTACCCTGTCCTCTAAATACAAAGAATTCACTCATTATTACCTTGAAAAATATACCTTTAATCAACAACCAGATATTGTTTTGCATCCAACCAAAAGGCAAAAATCTAGCAAAATTCAATGAGCAACCTATCAATGACTGAAAAATATTAAACCTCAGGTATACAGCTTTATAAATATTCTCACAAATAACTGAATTAATTACTGAATTTATTCGAAATTCTCAATTACGTTAAGGCAAAATTATAACGTAACATATACTCAAATACAACTGCTATGATGTAGAATCAGGGCGCGAAATATTTCCATTTAAATAGTGCGTCCCAAAACTCTACTTTTACCATCGTTTTAAATAAGGTTAGTAATTTCTTTTGATACGAATATTTTTTATTTACTTCATAGATCAAGAATAGATCATCGATTTCATTGAAATTATACCTTGTCCACTAACCTATTGTTTAATTTTTACAAAAAAAAAAAATCGTTCCGCACGTCACTGAAAGGTGCACATTTTTATAGTTAATTTTTTTGTCATACAAAACGATCCAAAATTTCACATTGTTCGCAATTATTGTTAGTTCCGAAGCCTCATTGACTGGCCTACAGGGTCGCGGTATTAATATAAAATAATGGTTTTTGGAAGATGAGAGGGTAGTCCATAGACCGAGAATTAACGGCGTTAGTCAGTAATAATAGTGCCTTTCAGTCCTGTGATAATTATTAGTGCCCATGCCCATTTCTGAAATGTATTTGTTATTTTAAATACACTCTCCTATTTTTGTATTTGGCTCTAGTTTTGATTCTCACCCCCTCATAACCCTCAGGTCCGATATCGAAAATATTTTTAGAAGTTTTATCGTCTGTTATATAATTTATAGTGTGTTTAATTTCAGTGGCATGCAGACGTATTAATTAAAATTGATGAAAAAATGTCTTGCCTCGACTAGAATTTGAAGCCAGGACCCTCGCATTTCCAGTGCAACGCTCTACCAACTGAGCTACCAAGACCTGTTTCATTTCTACCTTGTCGATCAAGTCTTTCATCAATTTTAAGTTGTTAGTTGTGAAGACCAACGGCAAACTTCGCTGTTAGGATAATGGATTCCAAACAACCATTAATTGCGAATGTGTTCCCCATACCCTCTAACTCATTCCCATAAACCGCTGAAGGTTGCCGTTGGTCTTCACGACTAACAACTTGAAATTGATGAAAGACAAGGTAGAAATGAAACAGTTTTTGGTAGCTCAGTTGGTAGAGCGTTGCACTGGAAATACGAGGGTCCTGGGTTCAAATCCTAGTCGAAGCAAGAAAATTTTTCATCAATTTCAATTAATACGTCTGCATGCCACTAAAATTAAACACATCGGAAATATTCTGATGTGACAATTCCCAACTTGCAGAATGTAGACATACTTTTTACTTATTAAATTGTTTTTTATTTTAGATATGCTGTTCATACTAAATTAGTAAATTTCACTGCTCCAAATGATCAGCAATTGTGGACAGAAGACGCTAAAAATGAACTTTATAGTTCGCTGTTTGGAAAGATAAAAGCTAAGCCAGTGTGAAAATTTGTTGAAGATTGGGTGAGCGGATTAAATCAAACCAGATGTTGAGGTGTATATAAGTTTTTTTTAATTGTTTTTCTTAATGTACATTGTTTAAAATGGTTGACAGATATAGTTTTATATTTATTTACAATAGTTAAGCTACTAGTGTATCTTAGTTTCAGGCAAATAATGTAAACAAAAATCCTAAATTATTTTATAAAACTGGTCATTTGGTTTACTTTTTTCTTACATTGGCTAAAACATGTATTTCTGGAAAGAATTGAAAAAAGCACGTTTTTGATATACATACATATTCTTGCCCTTATAATTAAATTACATAGCTGGAAGGATATTATTTGGTAAATTTGTACAGGCAATCCTATGAGTTTAAATTTAGAAAAAAAAAACAACATTATCTTATCAACCTTTAGAGTTTGATTATTTTTACTATTTAGTAATTTGTTTAAAAATCTAATTAAACTACATATAGATGAGTAAATTTCAATTGCCTCTACAAATTGGAATGGTGATTTGCCCTAATAATTATAATAATATTAAGCAAAAAAAAAAGAAACCTTTCAATCATTCATTATTATTATTGAGGCATATTTTTTGATTAGTTATAATCATGGAATGAAGTACTGATGTTAGCCATTTTCCCTCTTAGTCGTATCTAGTTGTTATTAAACCAACACAAAATTGCAAAAATCAGCACAGTTACTGCATCTCACACCTGTATATTATATTATATAATTAAATTGATATAGATAGTTAATCCTAAAACTTGTTTTTGTATTTTTTTCTCGCCTATAATCTAAAGTATTCTAAAACACTGACAAGCCTTTATACAATCCAAGGGTCTTGTCTCTAAGAAAATATATTATATTATTTTCTAAACTTTGTTTTTTTAAATTTAAACAATCTTTTAACAAAATTAATTTATAATCTCAGGTACAGCACAATTAATATTAAAATAAAAACTGCTAAAGGAATGGTTTTAATGCAAACGCAGCAATAGAAATGATCCTGAATAGATTTTCAGAAAAATTGCTAGGACATTTTAATTTAATTTAAGAGATTACTTTTGCTATAAGATCTATTTTTTTAGTCCCTAAAATTTTATCTAAATTTTATAATAATTTAAAAAAAAACACTCTTTTGTGTCAATATTTCTCATCATAATTTAAAATTTTACTATCAATTATGCTTCACATTCTTTAATTAATCACATACTTTGCGGGCTTCACACAGGGAGCCAAAAAAAACTCAAACTAAACTCTTATTAGTTGAACCTGCTTATTCAAAAATTAGTTAAACGAGCAACTTCAATTGAGCTGAGTTATTATGTTTCAACCAATCTGAGTACAGATGAAGATCTGTTACAGGAAAATATAAAAAGTAATCAAAATTGCTCCTGCTTACATGAGATTAAAATAGGTCTAACTTAAAATGAAAAATACTAGTAGACAATTTCTACTCAAATGAAAATTTGGATGTCAAATCTTCCAATTAATTTCAATTTTGAGAGAGAATATTATATTATGTACTCAATTTTTCGTTTTTTTTTTTTTTTTTTTAATTGTGACATCTCAAAATAGCATACGCTAATTATTATTATATTTCCTTGGCCTACTAGTCATTTTTGGTGTATACAACGTCAACCAGGTATCTTTTAAGAGCAAACAAATAAAACTACAAACTTAAGTTTGGCAAACAGTTTTGGTTTACTTCACTATTTTTATTATAGCCCAAAAAAAAAATTATAATGTTTTTCTTATTTGTTCCAACATTAGATATATATGTATTTATTTTGTTTTAAATTCACTAGTAATTAATCTCAGTTTTAGGTAATCTCGATTTTTTTTTTGTGGTGTTTTCAAATTACATCTTGCTCCTTACCTCGTGCGCTTTTTTCACAATTGCTAGTTTGGAGTGGGGATCGAGCACTGGCAATTCTGTGTAAGGTGGTTCTTTGGTACCGTGTAGCATTAGGGACCATTCCTTGAAGAAACCTGTTTGTGGGGTTTCTGAGTTGAATTTTATCTGGAAAAAATAAGAATTCTTAAAACTTTACTAAGATTTTTTAGTAGGTAACAGGTAGCACAATAGTCGTTACAATAGTCGCTACAATAGTGGTCATATTGTTAAATGGTAGCGTACCACTTTGTATTAAAACTGTCTGGTATCAAATTCGTATTTAGCTTAGTTTTAAATAACTGACCGACTGCTTGACTCACTATGGGCTATTTGTACTTTGTAGCAGAGCTGGGCAGGGCTTGAGTGCTTTGTGCTTGCGAAAGTGCTTGAAGCACTTTGAGGACTTGAAAGCCCTGTGCTTCAAGCCCTTTTATAGATTTGTAATTGGGTTTTGCAAAGTCAATTACTTTAGAAAAGTGCTTGGTTTTTGTAATTGAAAAAAGTAGTTCAAGCCCTTTCAATGAGCTTCAATTACTTTTAGAGGGCTTGAAGCACTTTTGAAAATAAAAAGGAATTTGTACTTGAAATTGAAGCACTTTGATAGAGGGCTTAGGGCTTAGTGCTTCAAGCCCTTTTACTGAGGGCTTTGCCCAGCTCTGCTTTGTAGACGACATCGCTACTACGGATGTTTCTAGAAGTTTTTGTAAATCGTTACCATCTGGAAGCAACAATTAAACTCCTCAAGAGATGATATAATTGTTGCACCTAAAATTATTTCCTAAGGACCTGAAAGTTTCTACTCTTTTGGATTTTGAGGTATGTTCCGTCAATAAAAGTAATAGCCTATGGTAGCAGAAGTTCAGGATTATAATAATCCTGAACCGATGTAGCATACCTACTGGCGTAAGCGACATTCACTAAATTTTAAAGGAGATCGAATTGAATAAATTTACTTCTATAATATGGTGCATAATAATCTAAAAATAATTGGACAGTATTCATAATATATTTTAGTATGAGGGGAATGGATAAAGACTATAATAGTCAAATTGGCAGACCTTGATTCCAATGTTTCAAAAAAGGCACCAAATGGAAATACGCCTCCCTGCCAGATTCCTATTGGATCGATATGCCAGATACGTATTGGATGGAAATATGCACTAATGACAATCGGTAGCGACTATAGCTGTTGTTATTTCAAAAAAATTAAAGGAAACTAGTGTTTTCAATCAACGAAAAATATTTTAATCAAAACCAAACACACTTAACATCCTATTCTAAACGAGTTCATTTTTCTGAACTTGAACGAAATTAGCACTAATTATTATGAGGGAGATATTTGAATTTTTTTTGAAAAAGTTCATTTCGCACAACTGGTGTATGTACGTATTGTCTGGCTAGCCAAACGGCGAACTGCAATAGAATTTTCTGCTCTGCCAAACTTGACGGAAAATAGTATATTACATGCCGAGTAGGGAAGTGTTTCATTACTGTCAAGAGATTTATATAGTCTATTAATCTCGAGACAGAAATGAAAACTTTCCTCCAAGCACCGGCGTATCCAGCCCATGCGTCTGGGGGGGTAATCAGCCCAGGCCAGCCCGCCGCCGGAGTCGAATTTTTTTCACCGGGTGCCACGCCCAAAAACGTCTATTTTTAGCCTTCGAAACAATTTTTCTGTACTACCAACAAATAACGGAACCGAACTCTGAGATTCCCTAAAAACTTTCAAATTATACCTAATTCTATAGGTAGAACCAGTTCAAAGAATGTATTTTTATCTCTTTCTTATGCAAGCTAGTAGAAAAAGACACGAATACACTCAGTGCGCACTATCTATCCCTTCCAATAGAATTCTCTATAAATGGCATGCTGGCACTGCTGGCAGTGCGGACACTGTGCAAACTAGAAAACAAGCTGTAGAGAAACGAGAAACAAGAATGGGATCCAGCGTCAGCCTTAAGATCGCAGTCACGTCGCAGCAGTACTTGGCAACGTGGCAAAATGTGACTGTTCTATAATAGTTTTTTCGTCATCGTTATAGTGTACTGTTATCTTACTATGGGCCAGTTTCTCAATAGCGAGTCACCTCTGGGTTGATTTTAACTCCAAGGGCGAAATTTTTGAAAAATATTGCATACGAAATTTGATATGATTTCGAACGCTTCCCATTTAATTTACATGTCAGTCAAATTCGAATCAAATTTAGAATGGGATATTTTTCAAGACTTGGGCCACTGGTTAAACGTGTCCAGTTGCAATCTTCACCTTGGAGTTATGCTTAACCCGGAGCTGACTTGCTATTGAGAAACCGGCCCTATAGCATGAGCGAAATTGAAATCGGAAAGATGTTAAAATTTTGGAGAATTTCGAAGAATATAGCTTCGTAACATCATTTAGGGCTTTTTGCATTTTTTTGGTATCCGAAATCACAAAATTGACATAGAAATTTTGTTTTCCTTATTTTGTCTGAAATGTTTCCATATCGAACTTCTAGGTTTCATTTTCGAAGGAATTTCCTCAAAACTAGTCAAAACTAATATTAAGGGCCGGTTTATTCATCTTCTGATAAACTGTCAGGTTTGCAATCTGGCGGATAAAAACGCAATCTGGTAATCTCATTGGTCCGCCAGTTATCCGCCGACCAATAGAATCTTAGAACAGTACATTTATCTTGTAGATAGTTACAAGCAAGTTTATCTGAAGATGAATACCTAAACCGGGCCTAAATATGTAAGTTAAATTATTAAATATTGCTTCGCACACACTCTGCACTCTGCACAGTGCAGCAGAAACAATGAAATAACTTATGGCCATGGCGCTTCCAGTTAGTAGAAATATCTAGTGGCTAGTGCAAAGAAAATGTATTTGTGTTTTTATCTGTTTCTTTAACAGGCTGAGAGAAAGAGCTGGAAATACACTCAGTAATCAGTCGCGCCAGTGCGTATTAAATCTATTCTACCAATCGAAAACGCCTATGGGCTCGGGGTATTTACCGGATTTACCCGGTCATTATTCTTAAAACAGGGGAGCAGCGTTCCCAGGAGAACGAGTGTTTTGTCTTTGTTACTTATATTCGAGCTTATATTATCAGTTGCATATCATTGAGAAAGACGGAACACTCGTTCTCTTGGGAACGCTGCTCCCCTGTTTCCCTTTCAAGAAAAAAGGACCCCGGCGCCCGGACTCACTGTTTTTTGTTTTCCATTTCAACCTAACCTCACTACGAACCTAGTGCCACCTGTATGTGCAAGGTGATAAATTTAAAAATTAGGGGTAATTTCCCATAGATTCTCGAAAATTACCGTATATCCTCATACAATCTCGAACCTAAAAAAATAATAAATTCTCGAGAATTTAAGTCCAAAGAATATTCTCAGTAAATTCTCTGTTCTCGATAGAAGTTCTTTGGAGAATATTCTCAGGGCCATCTCTACGTCCACCGCAACGATCTTGGGGGGGGGGGGGGGTAATTACCCCCATTACCCCCCCCTTGTATACGCCGGTGCCTCCAAGGTTTGTATACTATTTTATTTGCAAGCACACCATTAACTATAATTAGTCATTAGATTTTTTTAATATTAAAAAAATAAAACAAACATGCCAAAATGTGTCATTCACTGTTTTGACGTTTTTACCTGACATGTTCTCATTGTTGCCAGCAAAGGTCAATAATTTAGAGTGAGGGAAATCGGTGAGGGAAGTCGAATAGGGAAATCGGTGAGGGAAATCGAAGAGGGAAGTGACACATTTAAAGTGACACTTCCAAATTTTTGAAAAGTCAGTAATGTCAAGATTACATATATGGTTGCAAATAATAGTATATTACATACCGAGTAGGGAAGTGTTTCATTACTGTTGAGAGATTTATAAAGTCAATCGAGACGCGAAGCGTCGAGACTGACTATTAATCTCGAGACAGAAATGAAAACTTTCCTCCGAGGTTTGTATACTATTTTATTTGCAAGCACACCATTAATTACGATTAGTCAATCAATTTTTTCAATATTAAAAAAATAAAACAAACATGCCAAAATGTATCATTCACTGCTTTGACGTTTTTACCTGACATGTTCTCATTGTTCCCAGCAAAGGTAAATAAAATAGAGTGAGGGAAATCGGTGAGGGAAGTCGAATAGGGAAATCGGTGAGGGAAATCGGTGAGGGAAATCGAAGAGGGAAGTGACACAGGTAAAGTGTCACTTCCAAATTTTTAAAAAGTCAGTAATGACAAGATTACATATATGATTGCAAATAAAATAATAAACAAGTTAGTGACATATTTTTTTTGGCTCTATGGACATGTGTAGTATTTTGAAATAGAAAACATTGCGAAATGATGGATGTGGAGAGGCGTGATTATTCAGAGGCATGATTCTATTGGATAGAGCCTGAACGACGGCACGCAGTGGCGTAGTTATTGGCGAAACTAGGCGCAAAAATCTAAGGTACTGATTTGATGTTTGCGGCAATGATGGTAGGTAGTCCATAATATAAACATTTTTAACGTTTTGCAGTTATACAATGTTTTTGAGTTTTAATTAGAATAATCTGTGTGATTTTTTTTGAGCTTTAATAAGTTAAGGATATTATTTTAGGTGTTAACGTTTTTAGTATAATGATTGTGTCTTTGTGATATCTCTTAGTGGTTTTAATTAATTTTTGTATGATGATGTGATTATTTTTAACTTGTTTTAATGTGTTGTATGTCATAAAATCGCCTTTTGCGTCACATAGCCCTAAGTAGTTAAAAAACAATTTTTTTGATGTTAATGTTCTTTTTTCTTGTTAAACTTGTATTGTTTCGTTTTTGCAGCCCCGATGATGATGCTTACCAGCATCGAAACGTTGGCTATTTGATTTTCAAATTTAATAAATTAGTCCAAGAAAGGTGAACATTATTTCCATTCCTCATAACCATATTCGTGGACGTGATACTTTTTCGACAGTGAATATGAAGTAGGTACCTACACAGAACTTTTTTCTCTGATCATCTGGTCTCAGGACAACAACAAATGATGCAGATCATTTACGGAGAATAGGGAACTTGACAAAAAAAATTTAAACATGAAAATATTATTATGAATCATAAGAATATATTACATATATTAAAACATATATCAGCGAAAA